CATAACTTTGCTCTCGAGGCGGAACTGTCGTTTTGTCATCTTGGGCACCGGGCAACTAGCTAAAATTGTTAATAAATTTTGATACGACGTTGCCTTGTGATGGTTATCTCACTTACCTGAACAAGGCAATGTTCCTGCTGAGTGCTCCGCCAAAACTGCGTGTCTATATACGAGGAAATAGTTGTTTTTGTAAGAATTGATGCACCGAGTCAGTGTGTTTTGAGCTCAGAAATTCTTCCTACGCTGCGTTCTTCCAACCACCTGGTTAGCTCTCATGACTGAGCCGTTTCTTTTGTCCTTGGTCAGGGGTTTGAAACTCGAACTAGGACATAGCCCTCGTCGACGTGACAACTTTGATTTTGTGAATTTTATATGCATTTCCTTCGTAGCTCCGTGCTGTTAACACATATACGACAACTTTTTTCTAAAATTAGGAAACGATTACGTGTAATTTTAAATGTGCGTTTAGTTACAATGTGTCTAACTGCTCATTCATTCTCGGAATAATGTCTATGCCTTTGGAGAAAGACAAACACAATAGTCGATTCAGCGTTTTAAAATGATGTTATATTTCAACTCGAAAAAAAAAATGAAATAAGCACATATTCAATAATTTCACATCTTTCTTTGTATTCTTTGTTGCTTCACAAGCTTTCAACGACTCTGTTACTGAGTAACATGCCATCAACAATACGCTACTTAAGGCGGGTATACACATTATAATTTCTCTTTCACACACACGTACACGCGCGTTTTTTTTTTTCAGTTAAATACATATCGTGTGATTACACTCCTTCAAACCATTTTTTATTTATCATGAGACCATATGACAACCTCGAAGGTTCATAGAGAATAATAAAAAGAAAGCAAACACAGCATCTTGGTCTCCAACATGGCACACAAAATCTCAATCGCACAAGGAACAGGGCGAAGCATAGCTTGCTTCGCCATTGTACGCAACATGAAGGGACACGGTGTGAACAGAACAGGAAAACGATCGGCAGTGACAGATAGTAATGAGTAGTACCAATGATAGCTGCCAACACTGACGAGTGTGCTATAGAACAACTATTCGCAAATTGTGGTTGCGAAGGATGCGGAAACGCAGAGCGGTATGACTTCAATTGAAATCGGTTCTAATATGTAATTAGTCATCGCTGTTTGTTCAGTGTAATATAGATGGTAAGATTTACTAATCATGCGTTAAAAATGATCTTAGAATTATATCATCAGAGCTCTAAGTTGGGAACACCATTCCCAAGCAGTTAAATTCATAAACACTGTCAAAATAACAAACACATACAATTTAAAAATTAATTTTCTTGACCCACTTTACCTTGACGAGGACATGCATCTGTAGTGAACGTATGGCAATAGATGTTTAGGTATTTTGCACAAAACGTTAAATTAGGTCAAGATCAGTGCGATTGTTGGACAACATAGCGCAAACCGCAAATAAAAAGCTTAGGTTTTAGTAGACGACACACTAAACTTGAACTAGCTAAGAGCAAATGCTGTGTCAAATACTAAGAAAGGGAAAGAACACAACCACACGTTTGTAGCACGAAGCCGCAAGCAATTCCGTACGGATTTATCAGAAAGCTGGAACATTTTTGTCCTTGTGGTTTCGTGCTACAAAACCTTCCGCCATCTTGCGGGTTTTCACAGAACTCATTTGGAATACAGTGTCAAACACTACGCAGAAAATCAGCAGAGATATATGACGAAGAATTCAGACAAAACACAGATAAATACAATACCAAGCAATAAAGTAGCTAAAGTAGCTGACGTTTCGTGAATATGCTGAGCGATCGAAAGTGAAAGTAGGGAAATAAAGAAGCTATGAAAGAAAAAGAGTGTTTGTAAGCTCGGGCTTGTCTCGGAGCAGTTAAGACTTTGAAATGAAATGCCCCAACCAAAGGCAGTATTTTGGACGTTCCCCGATTCCACCTTACGGCCAAATTTTGTAAACGCAAATCGGAAAGGCTGTGGCAATCTTTTGAACCAATAAATCAGATTTGTCAAATGGCGAAATTTGACACTGTACAGAACAACAATAACAGTCAACTGTGTCGAGCAGAAACAACCGAGAGAGTTCATTGCGCCGGCGCACAGAATCAAAGGTCAACGGCCCGGCTGTTCAACTCTTGTCCCGATAGGTGGCGCAACGTTGCCGAAACAGATCGAAGAGCGAAAGCTGTCGTGCGGAAATCCGAAACGTCGTTTCAGTGTCAGCCGAGCTCCATAGGTGGCGTCACAAAACTCGCTCTTTTTAAGCGGGAGTTTGCGCTACAAATGCTGATCTGAGTTTAATAAAAAAAAAAGTAAAGGCCACACCTGGCATGGCAAATACGCTCGGTGCTCAGCACGTCAGTCCTTGGCGTTTTGTGCTGGCGCTCTGTAAACGTTGCATTCAGATTGAAAAAGTAATACGAGTTCTTGTTTAATTTAATTCATTCGACAAATTTGGTTTTCGCACTGCTCGCTTACCATATAAGAGTTTTCAAATGTTCGCAAGGCCTCAAATAAAATGGTGCACCTGCTAGTCACTCAGTAGCAAAATTTTGTCTGGCCTTTTGTGTTTCTTTGTAATACACGAAGCGTTCTACGGTAAGGGAGCCCACCAAATGAAGCTGGTGGGAAATGAACCTCCGTTAAGAGCGCGGGGGGGGGGGGGGGCTCTTACATTTTCTCTGCGGTATGTACAGTTGGCGTCCGAATTTTGGTGACCACTATAGGTCTCACAAAAGTCTCAGTAATTAACGGGCATATCTAGTCGAGCTCCACAGTACCTGCTATATGAATTAGTCAAGCATAATTTATGGCAGCCCGCAGAATTAGCTGGAATATTCGATTTTTCTTCTCGCGTTTTTTTTTTTTTTGGTGCCTTGTGGTCCTTGATCTTTTGACACTAACACTTTAGCATACGAAAAGTGAAACAGAGAGACGGCGTACTTGGAACGACCATTGTCACGCTGTTACCGTCGCCAAAAATCGCATGCACTCACGAACATGCTAGCGCTTCGAATCATGTGCTTTAGAATTCTGATGCTTTGAACAAAGTCTATCGCTTTAAATGCCATGGGGCTAGGCGAGCTCTAACATTAATGGGAACGAAAATATCTAAAAACCATCGCTAAACACACGCATGACTCCGACATTAAAAGGCAGGAAACAAAAGAGGAGGCGTAAGTGGTTATTCACATGGTCGAACACTACCACGTGAGCCGCTAAAACAACATTGGTCACGACGTAAGCCCAGAGTTGAACGCCAGTAGAAAGTACAATCACTCAGTAATACCACATCCTGTCGCATTACGTGCGGTATCGTACAAATGCGTTCTCATCCGCACAAGAGCGAGAAAGTAATACACCGGGGAAGGAGGAGGATTGATGGCTATGTCACACAATGAAAACTTCTTCGAGATCCACAAGAGCAAGTTCGCCGTATATACCACCAGAACTTAAGTTACAACAGCCGGTTTATTTTGTCCACCAACAGACTCCAAGTGAGTAGTGGGCTTGGTGTCCTTCTGTTTACAAGCGGAAGCACGTCGGGCGTAATGATCAACCGGGTATTGCAGTACACGCATCCACGCAAAATTAAAACCAAATGGAAGGAAAGGGCAAACACACACTCGTTCGTACGATCCCTAAACCCGGCACATTTCGCCTCATGTGAAAAGAAAACAGCGAAGAAGTTACGGCATCATTTTTTTTCTTGCAACCAGACACACTAACACACTTTCGCGCCACACACATGCACCCGCAAAAACTTTATAAACAGTTCGACAACGCTTTCTATTTTAATACATCAGTTAACACTAAACATAAATAACGCGAAACCCAAGCACTTTTCGGAGGTAAAGGACGAAAAACACCACGGAGGCAAGGTGAGATAGCTATGCGATGTAAGTATATAAATGAGATAGTCGAATACAACAAAGGTTATGTGTCAGAGTGCGTGTAGGTGTTCATTTATCGACACGGTGAATGGATTACACGAAGAGAGGAGGACATTCTGATTTCTGCAATTGTTGATGCAATGGCTGCAAAACGTACCGCAGAACAGGCACAATTTGTTGCAATTTTCGTACACTGCATCGGCCTGTGTGAGTTACAGGCATCAAAACTAAGCGAAAGAACGCAACTTTCCCGCCCGAATGACTTCGTTCTTTGTTAGACGCAAGAAAATGAATCTAAACAATAATTAGACCAATGAGAGCATAGGGTACATTAACTGTCTTTCAGTGTAGCGTTGTAACTATGAAGTGAATTCAAATGAACTGAAGTGGACAAAAAATCACCAATTCCGCCGGTGGGATGCGAACTCACCACCTTCGATTCCTTCCTGACAACTTATGAGTTAAGAGTATGTGCAACCGAACTTTCTGTCTGTTTCTTTCAAATTGAGGGACTGTATCCCAAATCATATTGACTCCTGTGATACAGTTAAAAAAGAAGCAGTCACCTGCAGGAAAAGTTTACAAGATAAACATGATACAATGATAAAAAAAAACCTGTAACAGAGAAAGTGAAGGGTGACAGCAGGTCAACACCAGAGAAAATAAAAGTTTATGACTGGACACAAGGTGGGAAAAACACACTGGGTGGCACGGCAGCATTGTATGTACACGCAGGGATCTTCGCCGCCGCACCGCGGCGCTGCTGGCTTCGTGATTATCATCATCATCACCAGATGAAGGATGACACGGCGAGCGCGAGCGTTGACGCAGCAGCGTTCGTTCGTCGACGCACGTTCGCGAAAACACGCGCAGTCAGCGGTAAGCTATAACATGTGCGCCGGGGTATACACCTAGCGCTGTCACCGCGCACATTTTCGTGTGTCTTGTCAATGGTGGCACCATCTCGCTGGTTGGACGAGGGAGGTTCATGGGACTCGACACCGGGGCTCGTCGTCGGGTTCAGGGCGAGGAATGCAGGTCACGGAGAGATGCGAGGAGGAAAAGAAGATGACGTGCGCGAGGGGGTGATGACGTCCTCCTTGGTCTAGCCGACGGATGTCGTGGACTCGGCTGCGGAATGAGAAAAAACAGCAGCAGAGTGATGTGTGAGCGCCACATCTTTGTCTTGCGAACAAAGGCATCGAGAGTTGTAATCTAGTGCATGCGTGCTACTAGTCTAACCTGGATAGATGAAATCTGAAAGGGATCGCAAGAAATTTCTATACGTGGGTAATTTTATATGTCAAATATTTTATTTTTTATATCGAAATTGTTTCGAGGGGATGTTACAACTGCTTGATAAAAGAAAAAAAAAGTTGCGATGAGTGGATACATGTGGGTGCGGCTATATATCTAGTTTCTTCACTGTTTGTGCCACACACACGAATACACACACACACACCACACACACACACACACACACACACCACACACACACACACACCACACACACACACACACACACACACACACACACACACAAGGCATAGCGATAAATAAAAAGCACGTATGAAAAGCATGTATGAATGACACAGGTGACATGGTACGGGATTTAGAAAAAAGAAAGAAAAGGGAAAGAGAAAGAAAGAAAAAGGGAGAAAGAAATGGAGAAAAAAAGAAAGAAAGAAAGAAAAAGGGAATAAATAAATAAATGAAGGAAAGAAAGAAAGAAAGAAAAAAAGATCAATGAGAGTGCCTCTGTCCAGAGTTGCGTATCGAAATATTCGGTCAGTTAGGTTTATCGTCTTTAGAACGTGGAGCGTACGGAACACGGTATAGCATGCTGCAGAAACCATCAAGCTAGGTGTAGGTGCGTTTGTGCACCTAACATACGGCCACACCAGAACAGCTCGAGTGTCTGGATGCGGACGGCCGTCGCGATTCAACCAACGCGTTGCAATGACGACAATGCTTCGTATCAAATTCTTCCGTTCATAAGTAGTACCAGTCGCAAATCGAGAATTCTCGAGCGTCTCCAGATTTCCCAGTTATAAACTCTGCAGCTTCCCAAAAACAGAACCTGCTGCTGGGCTAGGTAGTTCATACTTGCCAAAAGAAGATTGTGCAAAAACTGCACAAAGACGCCGAACACACGGATGAGAGACCGTCAGTGCCTTCTATGTCGTTGCGTGGTTTGTGCAATACCATATTTTCTCAAAACAAGTCAAGGAAACTGTGGTAAAGTTTGTATATGTAACAAGTCAATATTTTGGTAGCTGAAAGGTAATTTGTTTCTCCCTAAAAATTACCATATGAGCGACTGTGTATTCAAGAAAACGCGCAGCGAGCAGTGATCAAGATGAAGAAAAAAGACGTCAAAATATCACGAATACGCGCAAAAATACCGTACTCCCCATCATTTGCAGAATAAAGGCACTCCATAAGCAGGCGGTCCGTAATGAGTTTATAAATACAACGACGTGCGCTTTCGCTTACAAGGGAACGCGTGTAAAACTTGAAAAATGCTTTCCCACTAGCCACTGACCACACGAGGCACTCTTTTACGATGTCGAAGCTATAGAGAACGGGAGGAGTGGGGGAAAAAAAACGAGCGCAAAACACCGGTGGTTCGCCGCAAAACAGGCCGCGCTTTTTAAATCCATTTTCGAGGCGGCAACGCCGAGCAGCAGGTTTCCCAGAAAGCGGGATACTCCTGGTGAACCCGACCGATACATTTCTCGTAATTAGCCGTCAGCAACAAGGCGTCGCTCTTAATTCAAACGGCCAGTGCCATTAAACTAACAGGAAGGAGCAGCGCGCACAGGAAGGAGCGCCAGTCGAGTTGAAGTGCGGCTCGCGCCAAACGCGCGCGTTATATGGCGCGAAAAGCGCGGGGGATCGCTTTCCAATCTCTGTGTCGTTACGAACATGCCCCGCGCGCGTTTTCCGGCGCCGATTTCCGCGAGTTTTGGCGCGAAAAAGTTGTTTCCCCGCGGCACTCGCCAACACGTTTCGCGCGCTTGTCGTCCCATTAGAAAAGGATGCCGCGGGGTTTTCGTGCGAACGGGGAGAGGGGTGAACAGCGCGGTGATTCACGCTCGATGCGAGAAAATCCGCGAACCGTCGAGATCTGCAGGTATACCGCGAGTTGCCTGCATTGAGACCGTTTGCAGAGACGTGCGTCGTAAACCCGAAATTCATAGCGGCTACGCGTGAACGGGTGCCTAGTCGAAAAGGCAGGCAAAGTGGGTGCCCATTTTGACACTTCTCAAAACAGCGTGTGGACTGGAAATGCGCCCTATCAATTCTGATACAACGTAGCTCTCGAGTTGGCTAATTTTGAGAAATTATTCGCGGTATTGTGAGCGGGCGGGGATTACTGAAGTTATATAGCCGTTCTGGTTTCTGAACTTTTCGAAATATATGGTCCGAGTGTCGAGTCCAAGGTGCGCATTATAATCAGAACCATCACTCGGGCCTATTCTGGGACTGACTGATATTACTGGCTCCATATGACAAATCAGGTCTGCCCTCGATTTGCACTATCTCGGAGCTCCGAAAGTTGTCGGACAGGAGGAATCATGCATAACTCCGAGCATATACGGGGGATTGCCAGAAACGCACTGGAATGCAATGACTGGGCACCAACTGTTCCTACGACACGCAAATTTGGTGACACCTTTCACTGATACAAAACAATGCATGCACAGCGCATGTCATCTTCCAATAAAGTTCTCGCTCTCTTTCACCCGTATTTCCGCTTTATTTTTCCACCCGAGTGTAGCGTATAACAAACCAGAAAACTATGCACTTGCTACAAAATATTATCCCCGACTTTGCCTTCACTACATTTCTATTCACAGGACGAGGCTATATCAAGCACGGTGGTTATGAAAGACCTCCATGATTTTTGAAAACGCTACCTCGTGACCATATTCTTCAACAGGCAATTAGCAGTTACTTACAATGCCCTGCGTTAGCATTACACTGAAAGATAGATTTAGGTGTACGTTAAACAATGTCTGACGGTCAAAATTTCCGAAGTTCTCCACGAAGGCGTCTCTCATTATGATATTGTGGTTTTGGAACTTCGAACCCCATTGATTATTTTTACACTGTAGCTTTAGCAAGATACCACTCAATAAACCGCAACTCATTGTTTTTTTCTCTTTCGTGTAACTACAGCACCAAGACAACAAACGCATATCTAGAAAGCTAAATGCTTGCCGGACAGCAAGTATATAGTCTGACAACGCCATCTGTTGTTTTTTAACACGGTTCGAGTAGAAAGCCCCCCTTTGTACCGCGTGTTTTCTCGAGTCTCAATTAGTGACGATTAATTCGATTTAGCGGGGAGAGCTAAAACAATAAAAGCAGAGAGGTTAACGACCACTTCACGCATCACCGTGCTCGCGTAGTCCTTCCTTCGAACGCTCCCGAAACGTCAAGAGAAAGCGAACGCGTAAAGAAAAAATAAATCGAAGAAGAAAAAAAAAACGCTACGCTGTTGCGGCATGCGTACTGAATAGACGACGCCAGCCGGGCTGCAGTTCTTCATCTTGCTCAAGGGCACACGCCCCGCACAATTCTATTTTCCTCTTCCTTTCTTCTTCGTTTCCAGTTCAAGCGCCTACAACTTTCCAGGGTGCTTCTCTCCCACCCTCCCTTTTTCACTTTACCACTCAAACCTCCTCCTTAAAAACACAATTAGCGATTGTGTTACGGAAGGGAAACAAAACAATTAGCTCGAAACCGGCGGCCTATATGCGCTTACGTCCGATTTATCCACCTCGGTTCTTTTTTTTTTCTTCCTTCCTTTTGTTTCTCTTCACGCAGCGCACCCCGTCGCCGCCACCAGCGCGCATTTCCGCAACTGCTTAACGCGCAGTTATCCGCGCTATACTGCTGTTTCAACGGCGTCATCGTTAGGAAAGACTTAATGCCCGGCACATACAGCAGCGGCGACTGCGCCCAAGGGGTGGCGAGTGTAGCGTGCCGAGAAGCTCTTTTTGCTCCCCAAAACGGTGGGTGGAGTCTTTTGTTTTAGCGAAAACGCTGCCTGCGAGCGTCGTCTGCTTGGGCAATTTACTCCAGAACGCTCGGAGGAGCAGGCGATCTTGTTTTCTCCCGCATCCTCGTAAGGCTCTTTATTTGCTGTAAATTTTTTTTTCGTTGTTTTCTGTCAGCGCGGAGCACTGCACATGTCGTGTACAAGAGCGAAAGCTAAGCGCATTTGGAAGAAAAATGCGTTGGCATCGAGCGAGGGCCTCTTAGAAAACAAAAGTAAAATCGGTGTACAAATCTGAATAGCACTACGCGCGTAAGTACAATAACGGGGGCACGTCGCCAAGCGTCCATCTCTTCCACGCTCGCTTAAGTGCGCCCAATCTGGTTATCCCAGAGAGTTGCGGGTGACTTTGTTAACCGCTTTCCCCGGGAGCGATCACACTGATAGCTGAAAGGGTGAACGCCGTCAAACCACTCGGGTCGAAGCGCTTTATTAAAGCGTGACGCCAAGAGCGATCCGTGAGAGACAAGTGTTGAATCGGAAGCGTGAAATCACAAACACTCAAAATCTGCGGTGAAACTGCGAAACTCTATTAGACCGATTATGTGCAATGACAGTTACTTCAGAGGCTCAAGTGATTCGCTATGCAGAATCTAGATAACAGCGGCAAACTGTCGAAATGCGAAGACTATCTTTCGTGAATCTTCTTTAGACCTTAGGGCATCCAGTAGTACGAAGTGTCTGTCGCGATTAGTAATCGGCTGCTGACTTGAAGGCCACGAGCATTTTCGACGGAGGCAGTAGGCCCGCGTGCTCAGATTTGGGTGCACGTTAAAGAAAGCCAGATGATCGAAATTTCCAGAGCTCTCCCCTATACGGCGTATCTCATAACCGTATGATGGCTTTGGGACGTTAAACACCACATATCAATCAATACGAAAGCCACGGGTTCGATCTCAGCCGTGGCTGTCGCACTCAAATGAAAGCGAAACGGTAGAGAACCGTGTCTACTGTGAGATAGCGCCCGTTAAAGAACGACAGGTTGTCGAAATTTCCAAAGCCGTGTATTACGGCATGCCTTATAACCATATCGTGGTTTTGGCGCGTAAAACATTACAAGTTA